ACCATGGAGCCCCGCGGGCGCGGCCCCTGCGGTGGCCCCGGGGAGCCCGGTCCGGCCCGTCCCGCTGCGCCGGGGCCCKCGGTTTGAACTTGGCTCCACGGTGGGAGGGGACGGGACACGGCACCGCCGCCGGCCCAGCCCCGGCCCCCGCGGGGGAGGCTGCCCCGGCCCCCCCGGCCACCGGCGGAGCACAGAGGAGCGGGTCGTGCCGGGGCTGCGGGGCCGGGTCCTGCTCCCGGAGACACCGACAGAGGCAGCACCCCCTGCTCGCACCCACCCGGGGATCCCAACCCACGTGTGTCCCTATCCCGGGGCTGCACACTGTGCAAACCCCCGCAGTTTCGATTTCTGTCGGCGTTGGGGTGGTTCTTTCACTCTGGATTCACGGACGGCAGTGGGTGAACACTCACAGCCGCACCAACCCATGGCAAAAGTGACTGTCCAGGGTGAGACCCCAAATCCCAGCACAAGGAGTGTCCCCGTGTTCCCAACCAAAGCCCTCTTCTCTTTCCCCTCTGCATTTTGTACCTCATTCCCAGCCCAGGCACAGAAATTTCCTTGACTCAATTTCTATCGATTTTGGGAAACTGATAGCAACAAGGCTCCACTGAGGAGCTGAAGGCGGGTGATTGAGTAAGAAATAGAACAAATGGTGAATAATCCAGCTCTCAGCTTGGCGAGAACGTTCCTCCCCAGGAAGTGGAACCCACAGCACGCTGCAGCATTCCACTGGGACAGGACCCATATAACTTGTTTATTGAGCTCTATATATAGCTAAAATTCATGGGTGCCATAAACCATTTAAAAACCACCAAGACATCTACAAACATTAAAAAGCTCTAAGAATGATGATCCCTTTTATCTAAGAAAAAATAATCCCCAAGCTAAGGAATGTGGCCCAAGGGAAAGGGAAGCTGCAGGTAGAAGGAGCAGGTGGCTGAAGGAGCAKGAGGATCCCACCAGTGGGTGCACCTGTGTTATGTGGCTCAAGGGGAAATGCTCTGAACACAAGCCAGGAATCTCTCCAGCAGGAAAAGCCACACCATTGCCAATTCCCACTTCCCTTTCCCACCCCAATCCTGCAGCCACCAACACAACAGCGCTGCTGAGCAGAGGGATTTATGCACCACAGGCACCCAGCTTTCCCCAGCACACCAGGAATCAGAATGCCAATTCCCTGCCCAGAAAAGCAAGATAGARCCCCCATGTGAGCACAAGAGGCCGAAGGAAAGCACACATTGAAAACTACTTTCAAACTTGCTTTTATCCTGCAGTTTCTGCCTCACTCTTGGATCCTTGTCCAGCCAGGTTCCCTTGCCATGTCTACCCTCTCCTTTGAACATCTCTATTCCCCTCCCCAAACTCTTCCAACTCTCTCTGAGCCCACTCACCAAGGATGCCAGCAATGGCACAAAATCCCTGAGCAAGACTCATCTCAACTCCCAATACCCCTCACTCACCTTCGGGAAACTACAATTCCATGGGACATCTGTGATTTACACCCTTTCACCAGCCATTCTAGAGAAAGCACAAGAGTTTCAAACCCAAAGAAAAAAAGGCTTTTGCTTCCAGACCAACCGTTTCTGCTCCAGCATTAAAAGCACTTCTCATCCATTTTGGCAAGAGGCCGTAGCCCAGCTTGGTGCAGCCACCACTGGCAGGCACTTTCCCAGAGTGGTGGGAGCCTGATAAGTCCAAAGGTTTCTGCTATCAGACCCACTCTTCCCAGTCAGAGTCAAAGGGCAAGACCACGCTCGAAGACAGCAGAAGGAAACAAAAAAAACAAGCTGTATTTTATACATATTCTCCAACAAGTAATAAGGGAGCTTTTCCTCCAACTAAATACATGGGATAACGCACATCCACAGACCTGGATACAGTTTCTATAGCCTCAGGTGTACAGTACAGCTTCTCATTCTATGATCACAAGAA